GAGAGAGAGAGAGAGAGAGGGGGGGGGACAGGTAATGCAAGGTCGTGGCAGTTATTGATTGACAGAAGGTAAATACCTGTGATACGACACACTGCGACAGGTGGCGACGGTGACAGTGACGACGGTGACAGTGACGACGGTGACAGTGACGACGGTGACAGTGACGACGGTGACAGTGAAAATGGTGACAGTGACGACGATGACAATGACGACGGTGACAGTGACGACGGTGACAGTGACGACGGTGATAGTGACAGTGACGACAGTGACAGTGACGACGGTGACAGTGACGACGGTGACAGTGACGACGGTGACAGTGACGACGGTGACAGTGACGACGGTGACAGTGACGACGGTGACAGTGACGACGGTGACAGTGACGACGGTGACAGTGACGATGGTGACAGTGACGACGGTGACAGTGACGACGATAACAGTGACGACGGTGACAGTGACGACGGTGATTGTGACAGTGACGACAGTGACAGTGACGATGGTGACAGTGACGACGGTGACAGTGATGACGGTGACAGTGACGACGTTGTCAGTGACGACGATAACAGTGACGACGGATAACAGTGACGACGGTGACAGTGACGACAATAGAGGAGCGAGTATTGGTATTCCTGCCACCGTCGAGGCCAGGCAATAGGTCAAACACTGACTCAGTGTTGGGAAGGTAGTGCAGTGAGTGACACATTCACCGCACCACCAACTGACGCCGCCACTCCTCCATACTGGATTATAACACTTTTGTCCAGAAACGTAAATGATTATTACTGTATACTTTGGGTTTATTTATTTATTTATTTATATATATACAAGAAGGAACATTGTGTTTGTGAGAGTACACAGCCTGGTGTGTTGACGTTCTTGTCAAGCCACTAGTGTGCTCAGGTCCTTAGTCTAACAGACAACATTCAGTAGGTAAATTCCAGCTAAATTTATGAAATGTTAACACGTACATTGTAAGGAAATTTGATAAAGATTAGTAGGTACTGTATATTAAAGCACATTGATAGCTTTGGTTGATGACAGTGATTGATAGTTTGACAAAGATTAGTAGGCACATCAAAGCACATTGATAGCACATGTAAGATGACAGCAATGATGACGATGGTACAGTTGTATGGCTTAGACCCACATATATTGGGGGATTAGGTAGCACACAATATGTGTTCAATATAACAACCATGATATCAGATGATATCAACGATTGCAATGGTAAAGTTATGAGGCTCAGGTACATGTAGTGAGGGATTGTGTAGCACTAGATACAGTGCCAGTTACAAGCACTGGAGGGAACCATAGTGGTAGTTGGGTATAGTCTAGGTCAGGTGAGGTGGTTGAGGTGATTTGGGAAGTGTTTACACTTCACACTCAGAGTAAACAACCCAGTTGCCGGTCACACAGCCTGTACCACGGGTCGGTGTACTATAAGTACAAATACTGACTTATGTAGAGTGTAGAGGTTTGTAGTCACGATAGTACACTGTGGTCCCTCACACACCTGTGTTACAGTACACTGTGGCCCCTCACACACCTGTGTTACAGTACACTGTGGTCCCTCACACACCTGTGTTACAGTACACTGTGGTCCCTCACACACCTTTGTTACAGTACACTGTGGCCCCTCAGACACCTGTGTTACAGTACACTGTGGTCCCTCACACACCTGTGTTACAGTACACTGTGGTCCCTCACACACCTGTGTTATAGTACACTGTGGTCCCTCACACACCTTTGTTATAGTACTCTGTGGTCCCTCACACACCTTTGTTATAGTACACTGTGGTCCCTCACACACCTGTGTTACAGTACACTGTGGTCCCTCACACACCTGTGTTATAGTACACTGTGGCCCCTCACACACCTGTGTTACAGTACACTGTGGTCCCTCACACACCTGTGTTACAGTACACTGTGGTCCCTCACACACCTGTGTATAGTACACTGTGGCCCCTCACACACCTGTGTTACAGTACACTGTGGTCCCTCACACACCTGTGTTACAGTACACTGTGGTCCCTCACACACCTGTGTTACAGTACACTGTGGTCCCTCACACACCTGTGTTACAGTACACTGTGGTCCCTCACACACCTGTGTTACAGTACACTGTGGTCCCTCACACACCTGTGTTATAGTACACTGTGGCCCCTCACACACCTGTGTTACAGTACACTGTGGCCCCTCACACACCTGTGTTACAGTACACTGTGGCCCCTCACACACCTGTGTTACAGTACACTGTGGCCCCTCACACACCTGTGTTATAGTACACTGTGGTCCCTCACACACCTGTGATACAGTACACTGTGGTCCCTCACACACCTGTGTTACAGTACACTGTGGTCCCTCACACACCTGTGATACAGTACACTGTGGTCCCTCACACACCTGTGTTACAGTACACTGTGGTCCCTCACACACCTGTGATACAGTACACTGTGGTCCCTCACACACCTGTGTTACAGTACACTGTGGTCCCTCACACACCTGTGTTACAGTACACTGTGGTCCCTCACACACCTGTGTTACAGTACACTGTGGTCCCTCACACACCTGTGTTACAGTACACTGTGGTCCCTCACACACCTGTGTTACAGTACACTGTGGTCCCTCACACACCTCAGTGTTGATGAAGGGTGTAGTGTTAAGAAGCATCACCTGCCTCGCCAGCAACACAACCATCACCTCAACACTCTGCTTGACGCAAAGTAATGTTCATATTTACACAACTTTGACAATTTAACGACATTTAGAAAATGGGTTTAATATACGTTCATAGAAAACGGGAGGTTAATCTAAGTATATCCCATAATCGCAGAAAACGGGAGGTTAATGAAGAGCGTGACTCGCCGTGTTCACATAAAGTAGGAAGTTAATAGGTAGGCACATCCTGAGGTGAGAGAAAACTGGGGGTGAGGGAGGTAATGTGACGTGAGGGGGGGGGGTGCCAGGGACACAGGGCCAGGTGTGGCACTGCCTGGCACCCTTCGTATTATCCTCACTAAAGCTGAGTGCCTCTCCCTCTGTCGTGCACCGCCGCTGGCACTCAAGGTCGTGGGGTGCCACTACTGAGGGGCTCACGGGTACATTCTTGTTACACACTCTTGTACACTCCTGTAGACTCTTGTACACTTTTATACACTATTAAAGAGTAGTGCAAACTATAGTAAAGTGTTGTAGACTACCTGTTACTGAGAGAGAGAGAGAGAGAGAGAAGGCCGGGCCGGGGGGGGCCCAAGGATACCACCCACCTGGCCATATATTATTGTTTCTGGCCAGAGACACAGAGAGAGACACACTTGTACCCAGACACAGCTGGATACACACACACATATGATAGAGCCCAGTAGGCTCAGGAATCTGTACACCAGTTGATTGACAGTTGAGAGGCGGGACCAAAGAGCCAAAGCTCAACCCCCGCAAGCACAATTACGTGAGTACAATTAGGTGAGTACAGCTGGGACTTGCTTAACTGTCTCAAGTGAACAGCTCCTCAAACAAGAAGATTAACATCTATCAACCCATAAAAGCTTACGTTATCTTGCGGGTGCAAAATGGGGGAATCTTTTAAGAACAGTATCAATATTTGACAAATAGTGTTTTCCTAACTCAAACAATGTGGGGTTTATTATTCTACACGTATTCCTAATGTCTCTCAGGTGTTGACATTCACGTAGATAGTGGTCAAGGCGGTGTCCATCACTCTCACCACAGATTCTGCAACTTCGCTGGTCAACTGCTGTTTCCATTCCAAATCTCCATGGATATTTGTATCCAAGACGGATTCTCGCTATTACTGATTCTCTCCCTCGTCCTCCTCCTCTTCGGCCATAATGATTGGGATTGCCAGGTACAACATGGTTGCAGCTGGCAATCCCAATCATTATGGCCGAAGAGGAGAAGGACGAGGGAGAGAATCAGTAATAGCGAGAATCCGTCTTGGACACAAATATCCATGTTATGATATATATATTATCCATGATATGTTAAGATTGGTGTTACTGGTCCCCAGCCCCTCCTGCACCAGCCTCCACCTGGCCACCTCTCTCAGCCCCCACTTGTTGGCCCTTCACCACCCCCACGCCCACACCCACGCCCACGCCCACCCCCACGCCCACAGCCCACTCCTCCCTAAGCATTTATGGTCCAGTTTACTTGACGTTGCATCTTCCCGTTGACAAATATTGGAAACTGATATTTATATAAGCAATATCTGACATGTTTACATCACTGTCTTGGTCCCCTACCACCCTGGCCCCTAGCTGGCCGGGGCCCTCTTGGTCCCCTACCACCCTGGCCCCTAGCTGGCCGGGGCCCTCTTGGTCCCCTACCACCTTGGCCCCTAGCTGGCCGGGGCCCTCATGGTCCCCTACCACCCTGGCCCCTAGCTGGCCGGGGCCCTCTTGGTCCCTACCACCTTGGCCCCTAGCTGGCCGGGGCCCTCTTGGTCCCCTACCACCCTGGCCCCTAGCTGGCCGGGGCCCTCTTGGTCCCCTACCACCTTGGCCCCTAGCTGGCCGGGGCCCTCTTGGTCCCCTACCACCTTGGCCCCTAGCTGGCCGGGGCCCTCTTGGTCCCCTACCACCCTGGCCCCTAGCTGGCCGGGGCCCTCTTGGTCCCTACCACCCTGGCCCCTAGCTGGCCGGGGCCCTCTTGGTCCCCTACCATCCTGGCCCCTAGCTGGCCGGGGTATGGCCCCTAGGTCACCGGGGCCCTCTTGGTCCCCTACCATCCTGGCCCCTAGCTGGCCGGGGCCCTCTTGGTCCCCTACCAGCTGGCTGGGGCCCTCTTGGTCCCCTACCTGGCCCCTAGCTGGCCGGGGCCCTCTTGGTCCCCCTACACACCTGGTCACCCTAGCCCCTAGGTGACCGGGGCCTCTCTGGTCCCCTACCATCCTGGCCCCTAGGTGGCCGGGGCCCTCGTGGTCCCCTACCATCCTGGCCCCACCTGGCCCCTAGCTGGCCGGGGCCCTCTTGGTCCCCTACCATCCTGGCCCCTAGCTGGCCGGGGCCCTCTTGGTCCCCTACACATCCTGGCCCCTAGCTGGCCGGGTCCCCTACCATTGGTCCCCTACCACCTGGTCCCAGTACCGGGTCACCTTTGGCACCTGGCACAGCTCTTGGTCCCCTACCATCCTGGCCCTAGGTGACCGGGGCCCTCTTGGTCCCCTACACACCTGGCCCCTAGGTGGCCGGGGCCCTCTTGGTCCCTACCACACCTGGCCCCTAGCTGGCCGGGGCCCTCTTGGTCCCCACACACCCTGGCCCCTAGTGGCCGGGGCCCTCATGGTCCCCTACCACCTGTCCCTAGCTGGCCGGGGCCCTCTTGGTCCCCTACCACCTTGGCCCCTAGCTGGCCGGGGCCCTCTTGGTCCCTACCACCTGGCCCCAGCTGGCCGGGGCCCTCTTGGTCCCTACACCTGTCACAGTATATGGTCCTGTTCACACCTGTATATGGTCACCGTTCCCACACACCTGTCACAGTATATGGTCACCGTTCCCACACACCTGTCACAGTATATGTCACCGTTCCCACACACCTGTCACAGTATATGGTCACCGTTT